TGTCTTCAGAGGTGTGCATGTAACGCTGAGAGGCATTTTGGGGAATGTGTTAAAGGCATGTTCAGACTGGCCCTAGCACTGCATCACAAACCACAGCATTCTCATTCATGTCAGTGAGACCATTGTGTTGCCCCTGCATCTTTGCAGCAAAAACAGACACAAAACTTGAATCTGGCTGATCTTTTCCCACAACACAGAGTGTAGCATCTAGCAAAAATAATGTTTTGGCCAGTCAGATACATTCAAGTATACAAGGTCACAATCAAGGTAGGATACTTTAAAAAGTAAATGGAATAGATCTGTTGTTTATTTGAAATTATTGGTATTGATTATGGTTTTGAGGACTTTGTTTGGATTTCGAGACTGTTCACAAGGCTGGGCTAGGAACAGCTGCCATTCCTTGTGAATGAGACCAGGCTTTGTAGCACCGTGTTTTCCCCCTTGTGGAGCTCAACTGATCTTAAAAAAAAAAAACAAAAAAAAAAGCCCAGCTACACCAGAGCGGAAAGTTGAGGAATACTCAGCTTTATGCAAATATCCTCTGAGGCAGTGCGAATGACAGCCAGTTGAGAGACAGTCACAATCATCTAGATTCAAATGGAAATCTGCTCCACTGCACTACAACACAATGGAGGAAAAACTTACAACCCCAAATCAGAAAAAGTAGGGATGGTATGTAAAATCAAAACTAAAACTGAAAATAGTGATGTGTAAATCATCTGTGCCCTCTATTATATTAAAAAAACAACACAGCAGCACATTATTTGATGTGGTACCTCATCAATTTTATTCTTTGTTCAAAGTAAACACTCACTTCAATTCTATGCCTGCAACACAATCCAACACATTTCAGGGCTAGTAGTGAGATAAAACAAAGAAAGATAGGAAGGGATTTGGATATGTCACCCTCTGTGGTGCATAACTAAAAGATTCAAGGAATCTGGAGGGATTTCAGTGCATATAGGCCAAGGGTGCAAGCCTAAGTTGGATGACTGCTTCTCCGATCCCTCACACAGCATTGCATCAAGAATCATCACTCTTCTTTCTATAAGTGATATAACCATATCGGCTCAAGTCCAAAAGCCAGGGTCTGTCCTGGTATGGGGTTGTTTCAGTGTCCTTGGCAAAGGTAACTTACCCTTCTGTGATGGCACCATTAATACTAAAAGGTGCATAGTTTTGATATGCCTCACTGACATACAGTGCCTGACCCGGCCATCTCTCACAGCTATGTGACATACGTTCTTCTTCATTAGTACAGAATGCCATCATGGGAGATAATGGAAGTGATACTGCCCCCAGTACTTCCTGTAGTGCATTGCAGTTTCAATTGAACATTTACATGGTTTTATATAACGCATGGACACTAAAATTCTACATCAACAAATTTTTAGAATTGACATCAAAGAATATGACTAATTGTTGCAGCACTAACTGGGACATAAAGGAAAAAATAACATATGGAAACAAATTGCTGACATCTGTCCAGTTTGAGTTGTGTATATAAATTACAAAATTACATTCTTAACACAACACACCCCCATAACTACAGATCTGCTGAAGACAGATACAGCCACTACTACCATATATACAAAGGCACCATTTGTCAAGTAAAGCTAGCCAATTGATACTGTCACTGTGTGTAACTGGAAGCAATATGGAAAATAATAATTTGCAACAATAAAAGTTTTTTTTAAATGTAATATTGTCTACAGTATTATTATTAGCTGCAGTCACAGACTTTCACTTTCTTTCTTTATTTTTCAGGGCCTGGGTAGGAATTAGCTAGTCTGTATAACCAGAGCAGTCAGCAGGGAGTGGGAAAGCACATCATCTTCAGTCAGTCTTCACAGGGACTTTCCCTCCTGAATATGTGGCAACACACAGTAGTTCTTAAAGCTGCAGGCCAGTATCGGTTTTGCCCTTGTATTAAGGCTTGTACAACCCCATTGTATCCCTGTGTCATGCTTTGTCAAACTGTTTCACTGAATTATTTCTTTGCTTTGAAAGGAAGCACTCTAAATGAGAACTGGAAAATAGGAGAACCAGAAATATAGAAGACATTTTAAGCTGGCCTGGCTCTACCAATAATCTTTCCAGCGTTTCACTGTGTTTGTCTGCCAAGGCTTGGAATAGTCTCGGATCTATGATTGGGTGACTAAAGTAAACCAGACACTGATCTTTAAAGTTCTTGTGATGCTAGAACCTTCTTCCCTATAAATACACCACCTTGTTTTTGTGCCCATCTGTGTGTTAGTGAGGGTGTGTGTGTGTGTGTGTGTGTGTGGTTGCATGTCTGCTTGTCTGCTTGTGTCAGTCATACTCCCTGCAGTGAATCTTTTTATAGAAACAGCAGCCAGCAGTGTAATCTCTTGTGTGGATGTAGGACAGTCTTTTATTACTCCTCATTACTTATGCAAAGCCAGTTCTCACACACAATCACTGTGCAGCCTGTTTGAATTCAGGGTTCTCTTAGAAAAAAGCAAACAGTTAAAGAATCATTCCAGTGTTTTCCTGCGTTTTAACACATGCTCCATAGTTTGCCAGCCTCATGTTAATGCTGGTCTCTTCCCTTGATTTTTTTTTTGTGTTTTGTTTTGTTTTGTTTTTTGTGTATGTGTTAATTTTGTGGTAACCATTTTTCATTTTCCTTTCAGGGCTAGGGATGTCAATAATTAATCAATTATTGATTAATTTGTCAATCAATTATTGATTGTTGTTAATAATTTAATGTAGCATCTTGTTCTGCCACTAGGTGCCATGAGCTGTTTAATAAGATGGATTTACATGTTTGCTCATGACCTGTAAAGGCTGCACAAACTAAAAGGACCACACCTCCTTGCCCTCCAAGGAAGATGTCGGTGGCAGTGGCCCGGTTTATTTGTCTGAGGCTCATGTTAATGCAGAACTACCATACTCAAGTGAGCAGTTCCTCAGATAACACAGGCTCTAAGCACCGCTGATGTTCAGGACAAGTAGGCTAGTCCTCTTACTAAACATGCTTCACAAAAGTGCTGAACATCAAGTGACCTGTTTGTTTTTTGTTGTTTTTTTATACTGTTACAGGTTATTTATTGTTGACTTTGTTTTAAATGTTGTGTCCAACTCATTTAGTCTGATCTATAGTATTTTCTCCCATGAAGCTCACAGTTCATGAACTAGCATTAACTTGATCCACTTGCAGAGCAGTTCATATATATCCATGCAGTATACAGCTTGCTGACCTCGGTAACAGCTGTATTCTAATGTTAGCTTAGCTAGCCTTACTAGCTTGCTAATAACATATCAGATGAGTTGGATCTCTGCGAATGACAGTGTTGTTGTACAAAAAAAAAAAAAAACAATGCAGAGAGGAGGGGCTGTTCACAGATGTTCTGTTGTTTTGTTTGGGTGTGAGAAATAGAGCAGTGCACGGTTTGGACTGAGCAAATACACGTGCTATGCATGGCACTACACTGAAATAAGGTTTAACCTGTTTGAATTTGTGGTGGTCAGTGCTGATATTGTGGTGGCCCACCATAAATAAATCAATGTATGGGAAACATTGTGTCACATCAGTGGGTAAAACTGTATTATTAAGGAAGAAGAGTACTGTATTCAGGCCATAAATGTCATAATTTGAAAGGCAAGGCCATTTGGCCTTCAATTTCATACATTTTCATAGGCCACAAAGGCCACTTGACTGGGCACTAAGGCTGAGAAAAATGGTGTGTATGTACTTTATATGTATACAGCCTGAGCAGTAAAGTTACCAACTAGGGTTTGGTGTTCACAATGTATATATTATGGTTAAATTAACGTGCAGATACTTATAGAACTGTTAAAGGAAACTGTGCAGAAAGAGTATGGTAACTATGCACATTTATTATCATTTGAATAGTAACTGGTGTTATCTGTGCACATTTAGACTCAAAGCCATACTAAGCTCTTGCTGCTCTCTGCTGATGTTGCCCAAGTTCACAGGTCAGAAAAATCATGGATGTCTCAAGGATAAAATGGAGGAAAGGATGTCTAATTGCTCATAATTACTCTAACTGGTGCAATAATTATATTCTACTGGCATCATGATGACAGAATGGCCAGCATCACTTATAGCACTGTGAAAACTAAAAATAAGTTCATAATGGCTGCCTGCTAAGGTTGGTATTAAAAAATTATAACGAACTTTACTTTTACAAAAATGTTCTTATTTTACAGTGTAACTTCTGCTTTTACATACACTGCACATTAAAGTGTTCATGGCATGCTCATTTCCAGCAATTTAATGTTTACCGTACTCTTGGGTACTTCTAGATTAGCTTTGCACCCATTGTAACTCTAAATAGTCTGTAATTATTTCAGAACAATAAAACCTGAGAGATTCCTCCTGAAAATGAGAGGATAGTTTGTGAACACGCCCAACTCCTGTTGCCAGTGTTGTGTTGAAATCTATTTCCTCATTGAGATGTGTATCCCCTAACATTATCCAAACCACAACCCCTGAGGCTCGGGCGCTACATGAAACCAAGTTTTGAACAGGGAAAACACATCTTGAAGGGGGTACACTTTTTGACACAAGACCAGTCACGAAGCCAGGGCAATGCATTAACAAAAAACATTGACAAATAAGCTACATTTTCCTCAATACCTCAGATCCTAGCTGACATGTTTAAGTCATGAAAAGTGGACAGCATGACAAACTGCAACAGAATTAATTCATTTGAATTTCTCCTCCATAGATGGTTAAACAATGGTATATGTACTGATGAAAAGTGATTTGTAACACTCTAAAGAAAGTGGGTAATTGAGAAACCTCAGATTTTAACTGGCATAATGCGGACATGGTAACTTCTCCAGCCTTACAACAATGGTCTAAAGAAACAACGGTCATGCAACATTTTTTTTTTTTTTTTTTAGCATTACATGCCATTAAGTAGTGGAAACTTCAAGGTCGGTAAATCCAACCGGTGATCACTGTATGTTCACCCACAAATCCCTTGTGTTACAGGTGACCCCATATGTTCCCAACTGGCAGCTTTGCACTGGCATTAACATCATGGATTGTTAGATTCCTCTCACAATGCAGGCAGCAGGAGGTAAAATATATCCACAAAACCACATGCAGTCAAAAAAAAATCCCACTTTTAATATGGCATGAATGGATATCAGGCAAACTCGCATGAACTCGCACAGCCAGGAATATATGAACATTTAAGGACATCTGTGAACTATTGTGTAAGACTTTACATAGTTGGAAAGAAAAGTCCTGCCAGCGAGAGTTTGTGAAGCTTGTATAAACCAAGTTGCTTCTGTATTGAACATGCATAGGTACAACAACATAGGTACACCTCGGTTTTTGAGCTTTCCGTCACTTTTAAGATGATAATTCATCATTGTAACATTATAGATAAGTCAGAAAACACAGAAAAGCATGCCACAGTCGCTATAATACAAGAGAAGTCCACCAACACTTATGAAAAATGTTGATGTTACCAAGCAGTGTAAAAGAGTAAATAAGTTTAAATTCTACAGCATAATGTGGCAGCTTACATGAACCATGGAGATTTAATGAGGAGCGTCCCGGGGTGAGCAGCTTTATTAAGTAATACATCCATAAACACACACCTATGTGAGTGACTGTATATGAACGATCATTTACGGAGGTCACTTCTCAAATCTGACAGAGTTGAGAGCTCCATCACATCTAATGATGTCACACTGTGGCTGGGTTGCTAAAATTTGTGTGCCTGTTCCCATTCATTCTGCTTTTTTCATCATACAGTTAAGATTTTTTTTTTTTTTTTTTTTT